GAAGAGCTGGAGGTATCTTCTAGATAGCATTTCCTCTTCATATGACTTCATATCTGAATCTCTTAAGTTTGTTGTTTTTTTTTTTTTTTTTTTTCCGAGACAGGGTTTCTCTGTGTAGCCCTGGCTGTCCTAGAACTCACTCTGTAGACCAGGCTGGCCTCGAACTCAGAAATCTGCCTGCCTCTGCCTCCCAAGTGCTGGGATTACAGGCGTGTGCCACCACTGCCCGGCTATGAATTTCTTAAGTTTTGGAGTTACTATCTAGTTATTTTAATTTCCCCTGACTAGTGGTAGAACTTGGCGCCTTATGCTTGCTAGGCAAAGGCTCCACCATGGAGTTCCATGCCTATACCATTTCCAGTTGCTGGACTCTGGGCTGCCTGACTTTGGCCAGGGGGGCTACCTTGGCTACCGCCCATGCTTGTGAAAAACTTTTCGGGGAACACAGTCAGACATACCTTGTGTATCATCTACGGCTGATTTGTTTTGCAAAGCCAGTCCTCAGGGGGCCTGGGGAGATGACTCAGTCACTGAATTTTACTTGAGATCAGTCTGCAGAATGCATCTATGAAAGGTAGAGACTCATAGGAAGCTCTTACTGACCCAGCACTGGGACGGCAGAGACAGAACCGTGACCACTCAACTTAGTTCTACTCGGTAGGTTTCGGGCAAATGAGACAGATCGCCTTGTCTCAAAGAAGGTAGTCAGCGTCTGGGATAGGAACGAGGTTGTCCTCTTACTTCCATAAGCACATGTACACATGTACATACACACGTGCCACATCCACACATTCACATCCACACACACAATTCACATATACATGCATGCAGATACACACATGCACACACTACACATATGTACACACAAGCACACACATGTACCTGTGCACACACATAGACATATACACAAGCATGCACACACATGAACATGCATACATGTACATGCATACGCACATGCACACATATACACATGTACACACGAACATGCATACATGTACACGCACACACATACGCACATGCACACATATGCACATATACACAAGCATACACACACATGAACATGCATACATGTATACACATATACACAAGCATGCACACACATGAACATGCATACATGTACATGCATACACACACGCACACATATACACATGCATACACACACGCACACATATACACATGCATACACATGCATACACAAATACACACACACACATTCACACGCACTCACACACCCCAGAGCACAGTAGTTAAATAGAGCTATATGGCCTTACAAAGCCCAAATCATTTGTTTTGTGACACTTTATAGAACAATGTGCTGACCTGGCTCCAGGTTTTCATCATTCACCAGAACACCAGGCTTCTTGACTTGTTAAGACGCTTTCTGGAGACTCTCCAGGCCAGCATGGCTCCCTGTATGGTCATGGAACCCTCCTGAACTAAGAATGGTGCCCAGGCTTCTGCTGGTGTTGACATTATTCTTGAGCTAATCAGCTAGGAGACTCATGGTGACTGAAGCCGCGTGGGCTGCAGGATAAGAGGAAGGAACAAACGTGTCACCTAGTACGTTGAGTGGGAGGGTGGACAAGGAGAGTTTTTCTAGGGGTGTGGACGTGGAGGTATGGAAGCAGCTGGAGCCTGTGGCTTTACTTGCATTGGGTGGCAAGCTATCACGTGACTGTGCACAGTTACAAGGTGGGTAGAATGTGTGTGTGTATGTGTATGGGGGGGGGAGGGAGAAAGAGAGAGAAGGCCCTAGCTGTCCTCTAGACACCTATCCAACCCACAAGCACCACAACCCTGTCACACTAGAAAAACAGGCCAAAGAAATGTGGGGCTTGTTTAGAGATGAAGGGGATAGGGAGAATTGTGAAAAGAGCTGTGGTGGCTGCTAACGTGAGAGGACAGTGCTTCGTGAGGGCCTCAAGGAGGGCAGGGGGTAGGGGAGCAGGCCAGCAAATGGGGACAGTAAATGTACCAAACCTGGGGCTGACAACCTGGAGCAGATGAGGACAGGATGGAAATAAATCCTTGGAAAGCTCTGTGATATCAGGACAGCTTAAAGCCTGTGTGAGAGATGGCACTGGAGACAAAGCTGGGTGCTAATGGAGAAAAGCATATCGGGACTCAGGGGTCCCCAAATACCACGTGGCAGGTCCCTGGGGGAGAATCTGGGGCTTGCTAGGGCTGCTGTGGGTGTTTTCCGAGTGGGTAAGCCCCTGCAGGGTGCGTCTGTATTGGAGCTGTGGGCCTCTTTCTTGATCAGCTGGGCTGCAAGGGAATGATGGGTTAATCACCACGTGTGATTTAGGGCACACGCCTTTAATCCCAGCACTTGGGAGGCAGAGGCAGGCGGATTTCTGAGTTCGAGGCCAGCCTGGTCTACAGAGTGAGTTCCAGGACAGCTACACAGAGAAACCCTGTCTCGAAAAAACCAAAAATAAATAAATAAATAAATAAAAATAAAATATAAAAAAATAAAAAATAAAAGAACAACTTAGATATAAACTTTACTTGGAAATACCTTGAGTAACTTGATGCTAAAAAGCATCTCTTCAAAAATGTCATCTGAGTCATTCTTGAGTTTGAAATTCAGAACCAATAATTGTGGGGCACAACCTACCTGCTGGGAGCAGACCAGCAGTGCTGCCTGGGTGTAGGCTTTCTGAAGTACAGGTGATGTCACCCATGTTCTTAGATCTGAGTGGGAAGTAGGTCAAGCCAGAGAAACCTTTGTCCAACTATCTCAGGGACCCCCTGGAATAAAGTCACAGAAATATAAAAGCAAGACTTTCTAGCCCCAGCCAACCTTGCCTTTGTAATGGGAATAGCTATGTCTGGCCAGATCCCCATAGTTAACAGCATCTGGCAGGCTCCACAAGCAAGACTTGCAACTACAGTGGGGATTTTGACATTGAGGTGTTCAGAATTCAAAGATGAAATTCAAAGATAGTTATGGTGGTTGGGATCTGACAACTATAGAACTCGGTGCCCCGTGTACACAGCTCTGACATGAACACAGAGTTCACATATGTCCATGCCTTCTTTGCAGCCTTTGCTCTGTGGAGGCCCTGGATGGCTAGTGGGTTTCACCTTTTCATTTTCTCAGAATGCAGGATTTTCTCGGGATTCTGACTCCAGTGGGGTCCTCAGCATGCTGCTGGCCTGGCAGATAGCCAGAGAGAGTCTCTTCAGGTTTCTCCAGAAAGACACACAGAGAGGGGGCAGGCACAACCTTGTGAAGACCTCAGAAGACTCAGGACCAATACTCGTAGCTCTGAGATTCATCTCCGTGTCAACTTGATCAGATTTGTAATCACAGTGGAAGTACACCTTAGGCGTGTCTGTGAGGGTGTTTCTGAAATGTGTAACTAAGGAAAAGAGACCCACCCCGAATATAGGCAAGACCTTCCCATGAGCAGGAATTCCAGACTAGAGATAAAGGGGGAAAGGAGGAAGCTGGTTGAACAACACTCCCTGCTGTCTGCCGCTGCTCTGCCCAGATGCCAGACCTAGCCATGTTGGATACTTTTCTTATGTAACAAAATACCTATCAAATGCAACTTAAAGAAGGGGGTTGTGGGAACTTGTTCTGGCTCACAGTCTGCGTACGCATTCCTCATGGCGGGAAAGGCTTGGGCTGAGGAACCCGAGGCAGCTGGTCCCGTCGTATCTGCAGTCAGGAGGCAGTGAGAGACAAACATTGGTGTGTTTGGCTCACTTTCTCTGGCCACGGAATGTTCCGCCCACAGTTAGGTGTGTCTTCTCGATTAACCAGATCTAGAATTCTCCCGACAGGGATGAGCCTGGGTGGTGCTAAGTCCGATAGAGTTGCCGGTCATCATTAACCGTCTCATTCTTCGAACAGTGAGCCAAAATTAACGTGTTCCTCCTTAAGTTGCTTTTGCCAAATGTTTCACCACAACAATGAGGAACGTGCCCGGTAAACACATAGAGCAGCATGAAGACACCACAACACAGTCTTGATGTTTTAGTTTCGATGTGTGTGACGAGTAGTTTCATATGCATGGGAAGCCCAGAGGTTGGTGCTTAGTTTTCTATTGTCCTCTAAGGTCTGTCTGTCTGTCTTCTTTCCTTTCTCTCTTTTTTCTTTTTTGTCGTTTTGTTTTGTTTTTGAGACAAGGTCTCTCACTGAACCTGGAGCTCATCAAGTCAGTGACCCTGGTCAGTGAGCCCAGGGGATCCCTCATCTCTGTCTCACAGTGCTGGGATTGTAAGTGTGTGTTGAGACATCTGCCTTTTTATTTGGGCTCTGGAAGACTAAACTCTTGTCCTCATACTATTATTGTGACCACATTACTGAATTAGGCCATCTCCCTGGACCCAAGGTTCTTCCTGTCTCTCTTCAAAATGTCCGTCCGTCCGTCCGTCCGTCCGCCCGCCCGCCCGCCCATCCATCCATCCATCCATCCATCCATCCATCCATCTATCTATCTATCTATCTATCTATCTATCTATCTATCTATCGTGTGTGTGTGTGTGCGTGTGTGTGTGTGTGTGCGAACCCACCTGCCTGAGTGCATGTATGCGCACCAAGTGCATGAAGGAGCCTGTGGAAATCAGAAGAGGGCATCAGGTTCTCTGAAATGGGAGTTACAGGCAGTTTCGAACTACCCTCCAGGTGCTTGGGAGCTGAACTCAGGTCTTCTACAAGAGCAGTAAGTGCTCTTAACCTCTAAGCCATCTCTCCAGACTCTCCTGCCTCAGTTTCTCTTGTCAACACTTATCTGGACAAATCTGTGAGCAAGGCAAGAAAGTAACTGTTAGGTATTAGAACGAGATCTTGTTTTGAAATTTTGATAGTTAAGGGAACAGAACCCCCAAGGTTAATCATGGAATGAAAAGGGGCCATTTTCCCCAGTGGCTGATGCTTCCAAGGTCTCATTTAAATGGTCTAGAAATGTTCCTTTTATAAACACATATGAGAGGTCACATCTTCCCTCCCACATCTCCAGAACTGATCAGAAATGCACGCCCAAGGATAGGCTCAAACACTCCTTTGAGTCTTTTATTGACAGTCTGGGTCTTTACTGATTGACAGTCTGGGTACCATCACAGACACAGACTTCGGGTATTTCTTAACACATTTCACAGCAAGAGAAAGATTGCTTTGCAGAAGTTTGATTTCCAGACTTCCGACATCCACTTTCTACCCCACTATTCAGACTCACACAATGCAGGCTGTGATTCACGCTCACACACTGTGAATGCCTTCCCTTTGGGTTATTTTAAGAATCACTATTGTATTCTGAAGAAAACATAGGCAACCGCTAGAAAGGGGAAGGGACCATACTGGAGAACCACAGAGCTTCAGGCAGTCCCTTTACCCAGAGCAGAACAGTGAACATTGTGCTGGCTTCCCAATGCCATTGTATCACATGCATCACATGGGCGTGGAAGGAGGCAGAGGCAAGAGCAACAGTGCAAAAGGAATAGCGAAGAGTGACATCAGATTCCCGAGTGCTGCATGGCAGGTGGTTGTTTTCATTTGTTTTCATTTTGGGTCCATGTATGACACTCATTCAGGACCTGGCTGGGTGGAGTCTTGGGCCACTGGGCCGGAAGTGTGGACTTAGGCCAGCTGGCGTTTCCTCATACCACAGGATACCAATAGTATCATTTCTATATGATTTTTAGCTCTAGGACTCAGGTCTGGTGCCTCCCCCACCCCCAAAATGCAAAAGCAAAACAAATTAAAAAACAGGAAAAAGAAAAGAAAACCTTGAAAGATTAACATTCGAGTGTGATTGATCTGAAGGCTATCCCAGTGTGTGTGTTTTGTCCTGTGCACAGGGGCCCTGTCTGTAGGACCACTGGGTGCCTGGGGCTCCCTGGGGCTTAACAGTTGGGGAGGGAGCAGATATGCAGGGGTGTCCCCACTTCTGGTGGAGGGGTCAGGCATGCTCTCATTTAGATGTTCGAGAGATGCTCCTTCTATAAACATTCTGTTTCTTGACCCTGTTGTTAGCTTTGGAACAGCATCATGGGATTGTCTCTAAAAATGTCCCCTTTATAGGCACTTTCTCTGTTAGATTCACAGTGAAGCTTAATGCACAAGTTAAACTTCCAGTCTGCAATAGGAATACTCCAAACAAAATTACAGTCTTTGTAATATTTTCAGGGAAAAAACGTTTCTTTCTAAAATCGCAGACAATTAAATGAACGGAAGTAGGTTTGGCTTCCGTGTCCTCTCTGTAATTTAAAGTCTGTGTTCCAATTAGCTTTCCAAGGCTCCCACTTGGTTGATAAGCTGATTAGTATACAGTGAGGCTGTAATCTCATCAGCACCATTTATAAGGATAGGATTTGGGGGATAAACAAATATTTTTGGCTGTTGCCGAGGGCCCTCTGGGAATAGATGATTGCTACGTAAGGACAGCGTCCTTCAGATCTCAAGTGTGCTTCTGAGAATACACAGAAATGTAACTTACCCAGGGCGTGGCAACAGCCCTAAAAAATACTTCCCACTTCACCCATGGTTTCTACATGGATTTAGTGAAGCGGAAGGCAAAAGGAAGCCCGGAAAACTCATGACCACGTGACTCAAATTCTCGCTGGGATGAGAATCCAAAACAAGGGTGCACTCACTCTCATCTCCGCTCCGATAGTTGCATGAGCCAGAGGTTGAGAGCGCCTCCTGCTGGCGGCAGCTGGTGCTGTGGTTTTCTGTGGGTGCCCTGGAAAGGACCTAGGGGCTGCTTCTGTGATCTGCAGCCCGTGTTTGTGCGTGTGTGTGTATGTGCTTATATGCATCGAGAAGAAGAAATGGCTAATAAAGACAGGAGTCTTTGGTGTTTCCCATGAATGAGGTCGTGCATCCGGGGCCAAGTGACATCCCTCTCTACACGTCAAACCAGTGATCACCCATGCAGGCTCGGTTCCACTCACAGCCGCAGTTCCAACACCACTCCAGCTTGCACTGGGGCTGCGGACACTTCATGTGCATACATCCTCCTGTGGGGACAAAGGACACAGACGCTGTGGGTTTGTAATAAACACCGGGCAAACTCTTGTTCCCCAGGCTAATGTGCCATTCTAGAAACAGCTCCTATAGTGAACAACCCCGAGCAAGGAGAACAGAGAGACTCTGAACCAGAGCAAACAACCAGACAATAGGGGAGGTAGTTCCTGAGTCCGGACACTCTCAAGAAATGGGACAAATCCCATTCGCACATTTGAGTTTCTCCTCTCTTCCTCATGCATTTAGACACAAATCGTTCATGTTTTATAGACTGCTGATTCTTCATTAAAAAAAATATAACCATAATAAACTCATGATTTTAAATTCATATTAAAATTTTGTAACTTAATATATAATACACTGGGGTTCATATCTATTTATTTTTTTCCATATTTATTCAGTGTTACTTGGCTCAACAAAATTTATCAACAGGAGTTGGGACAGTATACTACTTGTTAGTACTCTGTCTAAACTCCACCTCCACAGTTATCTGGCAACAGCTAGGTAGACCTGCCCACTATAAAAGGGGCTGCTTGCCTCCTCCTCTCTCTCTTGTTCTCTTGCTCTCTTGCCTCTAGCTTCTCTCTGTCCCCTCGCCTCTCACCCCTTCCCTTCCCCCTGTCTCCACATGGTCATGGCTGGCCTCCACTTCTCTCCTATCTCTCTCCTCTTTTCTGCCCCATCTCCTTCTATCTCTCTTCCCCCATCTTTGCCTATCTCCTGAATAGCCCTCCCCCCTGAACCGTATGGTCTGTTGTTGTCTGTTCTAAGCTGCGCGCCTAAGTCTAACACTGGTGCATTGGCCGGGAACAAAGACTCCGGGAACCCCGAGACTCCTGTAGCCGCTGGCAGCCTCAGCCAGCTGCTGTGACGGTGCAGGACTGATGCCACATGGCCTGCCGCAACCCCACCGCCACCGCCACCACTGCTATACCATGTGGACTCCATCCACTGCTACGTGCCATCACCGACCATGTGAATTTCCACTGCTGCTGCAGGCCAACTCCATCCATTGCTTCGAGGCTCACTAAACTTCCACTATCTGAGTTGTGCCGCTGTGGCTCCCATGTGGTACTCTGCCACGTGGGCTGGACATCCAGACAGATCTACACAGACCTCATGGTTCCACCTTCCCTGATATCAGACTGCATAAGGCCACAAACACACACTGGCATATTGATTGGTAAGGAGCTTCCAGTTGGTGGGAGGGACCCTAAATGCCCAGATAGGGCCTGGCCAGCCTTCCCTGGTCTGAGGGGTTGGCATTTCACTGCCCCAGTCCATATGACTGGCCTCTAGCTGACCTACGACTTAGGACATTGGCCATTGGGTGATTTCTCTCCTCGAAAGCAGTTCACAGCCCCCCCCCCCCCAGCTCTTTCAGCAGCCAGAAATTCTGGTACCAAGTTGAACTGCTTTCTGGCGAGCTCCAGGAGTTTGCCACAGCCGAGGCCCCTAGATATTCTTGTGACGACCTGATGTCTAGGTTGTTTGCCTGATTTTGTTGCTGACTTTTCTTTTGGGACGCCGATACGAATAGCTCGGTAACAGCCCCCCATCACCCAGTCGGCACCACATTGTCTTCGACTGCACCCACAGACACCCCACTGGGTTTTCTCCTGAAAAACCTCAAATCTCTAAAATTAACGCCTGATTTCAGTCCTTCCTAATTGATACACCTCTGCAATAAGGTCTGGATTCGGTACTTTCTAGATAATGGATTAAAGTGGCCACCTAATGGCACGCTAGACCCAAACATTTTAAAGGGTCTTCACACATACTTCCAGCAGTCTGGTAAATGGAAAGAGGTTCCCTATATCCAAACATGCATCTACTTTTGCTCTAATGCCTCTATGTGTTCTGCATGTTCCCCACCCCTTTTAGTCATCCCCCACTGGTCAGAGTAACCGTCCACATGGTCCCAGGAAAGATTTCTTGAGCTCAGAGCTAACCCTGTCCTTCCCTGACCCTCATTCTAGGACTCCCCCTTCTCTTCTGTCATTTGTGGCCGGCTACACCCACTAGTTCAGCTGGTTTGCCTGAAGCAGCGGGTCTGGGACCCTGCTTGCTCCCTTCCCCTCTTCACCTCCTCTGTCATTCGCTGCCGACTGGACACACTTAGTTCAGCTGGTTTGCCTGAAGCAGCTGGTCTGGGACCCGGCTTGCTCCCTTCCCCTCTGTGGTTCTTAGCTCTGCTCTGGGTCTACTCCTTGCATCCTACTAGGGACCCTCTCTGAGACTTGCTTCCCCACTTATGTAACCACCAGCGCAAAGGGCTTGGCTGCCCGTGCACGTGAGGGAGGCTCTCTCTCCCTCTCTGCCCAGGACCTATAAAACTCTAGCCACCAGAGACACTGGGCAGTGACTTCTGGTCGCTAGTAGGAAGTTCCGCCCTGTTGCTGCCGTCTGCAGACTTGACTAGCAGCACCTGTGGCTCACAGCCCCAACCTGCCAGCCATACAATCCAGCTTTCTTATTCTGGTCCTAGTCAAATGTTTCTTTGATAATACAAAAATGTGCTTTTCTCTGTCTACATAACCCGCCAAAGTTACTTTAGACTCTTTCCTGTCTTGATAGATTTTTACCACTGCTATTAAATTCTATTCAGTTACAACTAATCCTTATGGCTCTCAATCTTGTCAGAAGTCTGCTAATAGTATATTTAAGTTTATAGTTGACGGAATTCCCAAAGCCTCTAACAGTTGACCCAAGATAGTCTCAGAAGACTTGGACACCGGACACCTAGAAGATACAGCCTGGATTGTATGTGATGATATAGTCACTAAACAAACACAGTGGGCTAGACTGGATGCTCTGAGTCAAATGACTTAGCTAAATCAAACCAAGGTAAGTCATTTCTCATGTCACGCGTATCCATTCCACAAAGAAAAAGCCCTGCATCTTCCACGCTTGGAAGCCAAACTGACTTCGCCCAAGAGACTATGGAGACCATGGGAACTGTTGGCTAGTGGACTCTGTCATTTTTAAAAAAATAATATATAACTGGTAGATTATTGTTTACTCTTTCTCAGACTTCTGACTACATTGACAGCTAAGCCGTCACAGATATTATCTGTTACCTCATTAACTAAACTCATTTGCCATCAATTAAATGCTTCATATTTCCTCTTCTTGCTATCCCACTGTCCTAAATTATCAGAGTTCCTATAAACTTGCCTAACTCTAATAAAACATTCCACTATATGATCCAGCAAAGGTTCACCTTAAAGACTGCTCATGTTACCTCATGCTGTTATCTCTTTTGTAAACTTATAAGCTACAGAAAGCCCACTCAGATCTACCTCTCATGGACCAAATAGATGCCATCCAGATCTTGTCAAGTCCAGGCACATCCAAAACAGCTCCAGAGAAGCAACCTCCAGATGCTCCATCTCCTGTCACACACACAGCTGCTTCTACTGGACCTGTTCCTTCTGACCTATCCTCAGATGGTTCACTCCATAGACACTGGACATCAGGAAACAGACAACTCTCCTAAGACCAGACAAACATCACCCATACTCGTTCTTCTAGATTCCCTCTAAAGACACGTTGCCCCCAGTGCCAGCAGGAAGTAGCCAGATATCATGACGACCCTATTCCTGCCTCGCTGTCACCTCTTTCTAATTTTTCTTTTTTAATTAAACCAAAACTGGGGAATGTTAGTATTCTGTCTAAACTCCACCTCCACGGTTATCTGGCAACAGCCAAGTATGCTCCTCCCCACAGTTACCTGGCAACAGCCAGGTAGACTTGCCCACTATAAAAGGGGTTACTTGCCTCCTTCTCTCTCTCTTGTTCTCTTGCTCTCTTGCCTCTAGCTTCTCTCTGTTCCCTCGCCTCTCACCCCTTCCCTTCCCCCTGTCTCCACATGGTCATGGCTGGCCTCCACTTCTCTCCTCTCTCTCTCTCCTTTTTTCTGCCCCATCTTCTTCTATCTCTCTTCCCTCACATTTGCCCTATCTCCTGAATAAACCCCCTCCCCTTGGAACTGTTTGGTCTGGTGTTGTCTGTTCTAAGCTGCGCGCCCAAGTCTAACATACTTTTAATAGAGAATATGTTCCTTAGTGGTATTCAGAGGGCTCAGATGGTCGAGTGGATGCTTAGCCTGCATGGAACACTGGGATTGGTCCTTAGCACTGTATAAACCAGGCATGGTGGTGCACACATATGGTCCCCTCAAACTCAGGAGGGTGGAGGCAGGAGGATCAGGGTCATACTTTGATACAGGATGTGTTCCGGGTCACCTTAGTTTACATGGAATCTTGTCTTAAATAGTTTAAAAAACAAAAACAAACAAACAACAAAACCCAGGGGGTGGGGGTGGGAACAGGAAAAAAAAACAAAAAGAAAGGAAGCTTATGTGAGGTATGTGTGCTACCCAACCTACATTACAGCTTGAGGATGCTGAGGCTGGGGCATGGCTCTCTTGGAGAAGTGTCTCAAAGTGAAACTCGGTCAGGACTAAGAGGTGACACCCAGCACTCCTCTTGGAACAGGGGCTGTCTTGTCCATAGGCGACGGTGAGCCCTTATCAAGGGGCCTCCTTTGAGACTGCCCCTTCCTTTGGTTGCTGTTGGTTTCTGGGCTCAGACACCCAGTCCCCCATGAGAGGCAGGGGGACCATGACGTTGCCTGCAGAAAACTGTTTGAGATCCAAGCAAAGCAGTCTCTACTTAAGTTCTGCTAGACTCGACTCACAGATCTAAAGGAACCAGCTTGTCAGAAAGATACAAAGACAGGCAGATACAAATGCAGACAGATTCCTGAGTTCAAGGTCAGCTTGGGACAGGGCAAATTTAGGTCCAGGTATGGTCGGAATGGAATGATATTTCCAGGGCGGAGTCCCACCCAGCTATCTTATTGTCTGTGCTTGAGTTTGCTGTCTCTTCCTAAGAGTCAAGGGGCTAAGGCCACAGAATGCTGGTTCAAGGGTTGGTCAGAGGGAGCCTGGGATAAATAACTGAATTGATACGTAAATTAAAAAACTGGG